GAGGTGTCGAGGTGTAGGGCTGGGCTGGCCACTGAATGCTGGACAGATGCTCGCTGTTAACCCTGCTCCCTGCCCCAGAAGGGAAGAGAGAGAGAATGAGGGAGAGAGACTTACGTGTTGGAGAAGAAAACTTAACAGATTTAATGAGACAATAACACTAATACTACAGGATAATATTGTAAATAGGAAAATAATGAAATATAAATATGTACCAATATATTTAAAACCAATATAAAATTCTCCCCCCACCCCCCAAATGACAATTGCGTCACCAGAGGCTTTGGGAGCAGGCACTGGAAAAGTCCCAGTCTGGACCCAGCAGCAGTGGGAGCTGATGCAGGAACACAGGGATCAGGATCAGAGGCAGATGAACCAGCAGGGTCTGCTCGGACTTTGGCCATCACAGGAGAAGGGAAAGACCCTCACGGTCCCTCAGCTTTGTACTGAGAATGGCGTGTGTGGGATGGGATACCTCCTTGGTCAGTTTTGGGTCATCTGCCCTGTCCACTCCTCCCCGCAGGTGTGACACCTGGAATCACAGAATCACAGAGTGGTTTGGGTTGAAGGCACCTCCCACCCCCCCAGTCCAACCCCCATGGGCAGGGACACCTCCACCAGCCCAGGCTGCTCCAAGCCCCGTCCAACCTGGCCTTGGGCACTGCCAGGGAGGGGGCACCCACAGCTTCTCTGGGCAACCTGGGCCAGGGCCTCACCACCTCACAGGGAGGAATTTCTTCCTAATATCCAGTCTTAATATTAGACCTCACTTATGACACCCCGATACGGCACCCGTTTTTGGGGCAGTGGCCTTGGTGTCCATAGGCATTACATTCCACACCTAATAGTAACTGTAAACATCAAGCACTATCACTTGTAGAAATGACCGCTGTCTGGAAAAAACATGTCGTTAGTGACTGCTGAGTGCAGTCACTCAGAAGAGACTTAGCTGAAAAGTAAAATCACTGAATTGAAAATTAGTTTAATTTGGCTCAAACCAGGACAGCAGGGCTGAGCGCTCTGCACTGCTCCTTCCCGCAGCGATGCTGTGCTGCTCCACCACGGCCTGCTACTATCAGGGGCTGAAAGCCTGCAGGAGAGCAACAGGCACCTGGCAGAAACTTTGGGCTCCTTTAGGAAGCATCCAGTCCCTGGTTACAAACGCCTCGGGGACGGGACAGGACAGCAGCACGGCCAGCCCTAACCCTGTGTTTTGGGGGCTGCGCCATTGCAGCGTGGATGGAGCTGGTGGGGACGGCTGCTCTGACGTGGTCAGTGTCTCCGCGTCGGTACATCTGGAACGGGCAAGAGAAATGAATTAGGGCTGGTGTTTTCTGGTTAAAATCAAACGAAAAGCCAGGCCAGTCTGCTGAACAGCATAGGATACTGGGCTGATGAGACTTCATTTCATTAAATCACTCCAGGACAGAAAAATGTCTGTGTGTGAGATCAGTCTCGTTGAAGCAGCCACAGGAAAAAATACTAGTGCATGTTCAGCAATGCATTCACTGTTGTATTCAGCAATACTGCTAGGCACAAAGCAACAATTTTGGTCATTTTCTGTGTGTTTATTGTGCCCTGAGCTGGCTGCACATTTAGATGTAACTCAGCCTGTGCTGTTGAGCAGTTGTCTGTGGCAGCACAGGGGAAACTCCTCTGCTGGTGGGGTGAAATGAGGATTCCCATCATGTGGTCTCCCCGCACCAAGTTACTGACTTGTGTTGTCCTAAGGCCAAAACTGATTATTTAAGCCTGGCAAATTCACGTTACCTGTAATATCTTTATGGCTGAAGTGGAGAACAGATATTTCTAGCATTTATAGTACAAAAAAATGAACTAATTTTTTGTTGTAAAATGATACGGTGAAAGTGTGCGCACCAGGAGCTCCCCTGGCACCCAGATTTCTCTGCATCATGGGTGCAGCCCGGAAGCCAAGGGTGCAGCTCTGCCTCCTGCATCCCTACTTCCCCAGTGCACCATTTCTGTGGGATTTTCACCAGTAAAACTGGGGTTGTTTCTTCACAGCTTGTCTGTAGAATCCCCAGTTTCTCCTCCAGGCTGGGGACACCTCCTTGCGGCACGGCTCGGTTTAGACACTTAGCGCGGGTGCAAATTGCAAACAAAATGCCCCCGCATTGGTTTACAAATCTCTTTGATGTTTAAGAGTTTCTCTGAAGTACAGAGCACTTTACCTGTGTTTCTCAGCTTGTGGGATTCCAGTAAATCCTGTAATTCACATATTTCTCCTCTGAGGTCGGCCGCGTGCTGGAGACGCAGCCATGCAGCGATCAGTGCCTGTCCTGTGAGTGCCAGCACCGCTCGGTGCCACACGTCGCCTGTAGCAGGTGACACTGTCCTGGAAAGCCACTGACTGTAAGAAGCACTCGTGCTATCATATGCTTTTTCTTGCCAGCAAAGTAGTCTTGCCATTAATAACTAAACCTGGGAATATTACAATCTATTTTTGCTGCGATTCTCAGTATCTGCCTGACACAAAAAAAAAGACATGGCTTGGGAAGTTTGGTGGATCCCTAAATGACTGTGTGCTCCCCAGCATCTGGTGCAGAATGCCGATGCGCAAAACCAAGGAGATAAAATTAAAACTAAAAAAAAAGATAAAAATGGAGGGTTCCAGAAATCTTGCCCCACCTACATGGCAAGCAGAACAGGGCCAGTTCCTGAATGCACCGTGTGATTTGCACTGGTGCCAAGGGAGGTTGGGGTGGGTGTAAACCACCCAAAAACACCCACAGGACATTCTGCACTTTGCTTTTTGTGCAGGTTACTCATAAGACCCCAAGGAGCTCAGTGTAGTGGGGCAGGGACAGCGGAGTTCAGCATCTCCCAGCAGCGAGGTTTGCCAAAGGCAGCAGCGGGAGCAGGGCCACGTGGGTGCCAGTCCCTTCTCTGCATCCTACGCGTGCTCTGGCTGGGTGGCCTTGCTGTCACACTGAGCTGGTGCTGGAGGTGGCTCCGTCTGCACCCCAGCTCCTGCAGGGCCATCTTTGGTGCTACCAACGAGACAGAAGTGCTGGCATGGATGGAGACCAGGAGTCCCCATGGACCTGAGGAGTTCCTGGGCAGTGCGTCCACCTGCTGTGAGATGACAGCAGTGCTGGTCTCCAGCTGCCTGAGTGGACCGTGCACTCAGGGTTCTTTGGATCTGGCAGCCAAGTTCATCCCCAGTCTCCCCATGGGGAGCACAGGGAACTGCTTGAAAGAGTCCAGCAGGGCCACAAAGATGCTGGAGGGAGTGGAGCATCTCCTGCTGAGGAGCGGCTGAGGGAGCTGGGGCTCTTGAGCTTGGAGCAGAGGAGACTGAGGGGTGACCTCATTCCTGGGGATCCATTGGGAAAGGGCAGTGTCAGGAGGAAGGAGCCAGGCTCTGCTCTGGGATGGCCAATGCCAGGACAAGGGGCAATGGTCCCAAGCTGGAGCACAGGAGGTTCAAGCTGAAGATGAGGCCAAAGTTTGTGAGTGTGAGGGTCCAGAGCATGGCCCAGGCTGCCCAGAGAGGTTGTGGAGTCTTCTTGTCTGCAGACACCCAAAGCCCTGGCCGTGTTCCTGGGTGACTGCTCTGGTGACCCTGCTCTGGCAGGGGTTGGACTCCCAGTCCATCTCCATCTCCAGAGGGCCCTGACAACCCCAGCTGTGCTGTGATCCTGTGTGATGTGATTCAGGGTCAAAGCTGGTGAATGGAGTCAGGCCAGAAGAGCAAAGCAGGATCCTCCACCTCTAGTGGCTCACATAACACCAAAATGAGCTGCCACTGATGGGACCTTATTCAGCTCTCCCACGCCAGCTGTGCCGTTTGTGCTCTGTTAGCAGTGCCATGGTTAACGGAGCCCTCAGCTCCATCCTGGAGCATCTCCTGACGCGGTGCTTGCTGCTGTCACCTCGCAGCCCAGATCTTCTCCAGACCCCTGCAAAGTTGGACCCGGCTCCGTTTGCTGCTGCTGAGCTGTTGGCAGGAAACGGTGTCTTTGTGCCAAGGGAATGAGTCCTTGCTCACAGTCACTGCTCGTAAAACCCTCATTAGAAGACCTTAAAAATCTCTTTATATACCCACAGTTGTGCCACTGTTAGGGCTGCGTGCCATCCTGTGATCAATCTTTTATTGCGCTGTTTCCTTGGCCAACATTTTCTCCTTAACTATAAAGCTCCTCACTTCAAAAGTGGGATTTATTTTCAAATTCAGAGCCCTCATGTCGAATACACAGCAGAGTTTCCAGGTCTGGCAAACAAGACATCCTAAAGGTCACTGTGCATTTTCAAAACCTAGGATGGTTTGGTTTTGTTCTTTTTTTCAGCAGCAGTCTAAATCTAAAGGAAACTTTGGTCTGCTGAGCTGGACCAGTTCATCCCTAGACCTTAGCAGGACTTGGGAAAGATGAATGACTGAATTCAGGGGAGTTGTGGGCAGATACAGCAAAAACGTGGTTTTGTCATGGAAAGTGTGAGAAGATGAGGAGAGGACCATGTGCTGGGACCTCGCTTCCCTCCAGCAGCACATGGGAGGATGTGCAGGCATCGAGGATGGAGCGGTGCCTTGCACTGCAACTCAGTGGTGATTTAGGGACACAGCAAATCTGATTTTGCCTTGAGAGAGGGGATTTGCAGCCCAGTGCTGGCTCTGTGGCTGTCGGGCAGATCTGGACTGATCCCTCCCCGGGAGTGTGTTCAGTGTGTTCGGTGATCGCTGGCAGGTCACCGCTCGCAGCAGGAAGGGGTGTAGGTGCCAGGTATTTCAGGAAGGAAGGGATGAAAAGTGTGGTCCCTCTACAGTTCAGCCCATCCAGGCTCAGCCACACATCCCACAGCCTGAGGGCTGAACCCAGGAGCAGTGCGTTTGGTTTTCATCCTGGCATGGAGAGCAGTGGCCTCTGTCCAGGGGACAGTGAATACTCCAGGTTTTCCATGTGACACTGTTTAAAGATAGAGCCTGCTCTTGCTTTGATTCTCGCCTGATTTAATTATATTTGCTTTTTCTCTTTTTATTTCAGTTGTGATCCCAAAGAGCCCTTTACCTGCCTCCGAAGTAAACTCGGAGAAACCTAGCATGCACAGTAGCACAAAGACTGTTTTGGGGCATCAACAAGGGCAAAGGCGTCGCAAAACAGGGAAGAAGCGTGGTCGAACGACCAAAGCGCTAATCCATCACCCCATGCCTACACCCTCCAAGTCAGTGGAGCCTTTGAAATTCCCCAGAAAGAGAGGCCCCAAGCCTGGCAGTAAGGTAAAAGCTGATGCTGACGCAGGCGGGTAAAAAGCAGGCGCTGCAGGCTCTGCCATGGGGTGGTGCATGCGTGTGCTTGGGCACATTTGTCTCAGCCTCTGGCTGTGTGACTGCAGCGAGTAGGAGCCCAAAGGGGACTGTGGGCCGGGAACATCCCTCAGGGTCCAGCCCCGGAGCTGTAGCGAATGTCTGTGTCCTAAAGATCATTTCCATCGAGAAGCTGTGTCTTTGGAGCTGCATTAGCTATGAAGTAGCATGGCGGATGCTGTGATCATGACAGGACAGCCAAACGGTGGAATAAGCTCTTGGGTCCATCGTGTGTAGCTGGTCTAAGTCAAGCAGAGGCGGCAGATCTCAGGCTTGTTATGTTTTCAGGATTGTGGCTTACAAAATACGCACGTATGGATCACTAGGTTTTTGAGACTCCCCGTCATCACCATCAGAAGTGTGTCGTGTTCCACAGTGCCTTGTCTGTTGGATGCAGAGGAGAGAGTGTAGTGATCATGGGCAGTAAAGGAGAGCAGGGATAAAAGGAGAAATATCTCCTCTTTTTCTGCAGAGGAAACCTAGGACATTGCTGAACCCAGCACCCACCTCTCCAACAACCAGTACCCCCGAACCAGACACAAGCACTGTGCCCCAGGACGCTGCTACAATCCCCAGCTCTGCCATGCAGGCTCCCACAGGTAAGGGTCTCGAAGCGCACTCTTGACAGGACTGCAGGGTCAGGAGCTGCATCGGTCAGGGAGTGACACACTGAGATACCCTTATTTCTTCCTAAACCCATACACCAGCAAGCGTGCTGGCCTAATAGAGGATGTGTCAGGAGGAAAGGAGAGGCAGAGCTCAGATCAGCTGTTCATTTATTTCTCTCTCTGGTTTGGAAGTCATGAAGCTGTGGAAAGACTGCAAAGCCCATCTGGTCAGTGCAGGGACCCCTTTCCCAGGTTACCACGTGCCTCCACAGCTCTCGAAGGGCACTTGTGGCCCAGAGGCAGCACAGTGAGCAGCACCTCATGAGTCCAGAGCTCTCCCAAAGCAAAACACAGCTGCTGAAGCTACAGGACATGCAGGACAGCTGCTGAACCACAGTGGCCATGGTCTGTTCAGCTTCAGCCAAGAGAGGCAAATGGGGACAGGAGGTAGCAGGGGAGGACTAGGAACAGCAATGCAGAGGATATGCTCTGCTGCAGCTGTGAGATGGAGCTGGAGGTGAACCCGGGCAGAGAAGTTAAGGCAAAGCTGCTTCTTATGTGATCGGTCAAGCACTGGATATGGGGCTGAGCCATATGTTCTGTTTCCCAGAACATAACTGGCCAATTTTCAGAGGAACACAAAGAACTCAGTTGCCCTAAAGAGTGGAAACTGCGTTCCCTCATCTCCTTTGAACATTGCAGCCGCCATACCTGGCTGGCACAGGAACAGCCTGCATTTGGGAGCCTGGGTGCTGGGAAGGTGTGGGAGAAACAGCGGCAGCTTGGAAGGTGAGCGTGGGGCAGGCAGATTCGGAGGTGATTCCCCTGTGTAAGCGGCTCCGCTGTTAAGGTGCAGACAAGCAGTCATGGTGGACTCCCCTTTGGGAGTGATTTGACAGTCTTAAAACCTCAGCATCTCTCAGGCTGGATTTGAGGCATCTGTTTCTTGCTTTCTTGAGTGGGTTAATGGCAAACACATTTCTCATCCTGGCAGTTTGCATTTACTTGAACAAGAACGGCAGCACTGGGCCCCACCTAGACAAGAAGAAAGTTCAGCAGCTGCCAGACCATTTTGGACCAGCTCGAGCCTCTGTTGTCCTGCAGCAAGCAGTACAGGCCTGCATTGATTGTGCCTATCATCAGAAAACAGTCTTCTCCTTCTTAAAACAAGGCCACGGGGGAGAGGTCATCTCAGGTGAGAACCGGCCTGCAGCGCTCGGCCTTCAGAGATGTCATTGCAAGGACTCGCTCGTGGAAGACATCTCTCCTGACGCTTGGTGCGGGCCAGGGGCAGGCAGAAGATTTCTGTCTTCTCTTCCTCGCCAGACATCTGTGTGGCTGAAGCAGCAGCCAGCGGCTGACTCAGAGCAGAGCGGCTGGGGGGGGCCCCCGCGCCCGGCCC